AATAGGAATACATCTCATAAGTTGTGACAAATTGTTAATAGTCTTCTATTGTGTAAAAGCCTTAGTGTTTGTTTTGTCATGTTTACAAACTGTCCCATTTAAATAGCCTTCAAGTCCCTTTCCTTCAACAAAGAAATCAAAATGGAACTTCCACATTCTGTAGTTGGTTCCATCAAACTTTACCGGAACAATATCCATCTTTTCAATCAAATAAGAAAAAAAAAACAGTCCAGAGAGTAAAATAGCGGTACTAGTATTTAATTTTCAAGGCTGAAATTAATATCACAGCAATCAAACAAGGGACTTTCTCAAAAGAAGAACGCTTGACAGCAAGGCCAAAGTAAGCAATGTAGAAACAGTAGAGAAACCAAGTCCAGAAGATATGTATAATCAAACAACTTCAGTTGGACAAGTAACAAAAATGAGCCACCCTATAAAGGAATCGAAATCCTCCAAGAAATTACCCAAAATAAATCCAACCAGGTAGTACACAGTATTGACAGCCCAAACTAGAGTGTTCCAAGACTGTTGAACTGAGGAGAAGATTAAGTACCCTCCAGAACTGATTATGAACTTCTACCAAGCAACTGAGAAGTAAGAATATCCTAGGGCGGCACCAAATCTAGGGTCCCAAGGATAATAAAATAGCTGATTGAGAAAAAAAAGGGATTCACCAACCTGATGTGCAAAGTTTTACAGAGAAGAAACTATTCTATGCAGTTCAAATCAGCCTTCCAGTGATTTCAAATGAAGGAATTAAAGATGAGTGTTGTATGTCTAGTGAAACTCCTCGGTTTGAAACAATAGCATCTAGCAATGAAGGCCTCATTTGGCATCACTCCCCGGGAGTGATTCTACCGATTCTGGTGATTCTTAGAATGAGAATCACGTTTGGTATAACCAGGAGAGCGGTTCCCATTAGAAACGGGATGAAAAAATCCCTCCAAAAACAAGATTCTGCGGAGTGAAAAAAGTTCACTTCTCAAAAACACAATTCTTGCTTGACCCAATTCTCATCACGTTAATTCAAATTAACGAACACGCGTGACTATGTCACACGTGAAATTGAGGGCACTTTAGTAATTCCCATTATTCTTAAAACACTCACTCGAAACCCTACCCCATTCCCTTCTTTCTTCTTCCCTTTCATCGATTATTCCAACCTCAACGGCTCTGTAACGGTCTTCTGACACCGGTCAAAATCTCAGGTAAAATCTCGGTTCTTTCTTTCATTTTCTTCCTTGTATTTCTTCTTCCCCTTCCTTTGATTATTAGTAGTTGAGGCTTGGTCATTCGGAGTTTCGAGTTCCGACGTAGAAGATCAATCGGCACGACACTCCAGTCAAAAGTTCCAGATATCACGACAGATCCCTCCCCAACTACAAGCTCCATCAATTCCTACAACTACCTCAAGATCATTCCTAACCTAGACGACTCTCTCACCCAACAGCATCCGAGCTCCAACGTTCCAACATTTGGTGATGTTCCTGACTCACTCCAACCCATCCTCACTAAAGACGTTACTATCAACCCCACCAACAAGACCTGGGTTCGCATCTTTTGTCCTCGTGAAGCCACTCCCAATTCCAAGCTCCCTCTCCTAATTTTCTTCCACGGCAGAGGTTTCATCCTCTACAACTCAACCATTCCACAAGTCATGTGCTCACATGGCGAGTGAATTCCCGGCGGTGATCATTTAAGTCATCTATTGTCTTGCTTCAAAACACCGTCTCCCTACAGCCTATGAAGACATCATGGATGCAATTCTTTGGGTCAAGGATCAGGCGTTGGATGAATCCAACGGTGAATACAATCACATTCTTATGCTCATTCCCTTCTCCTGAAGTTCTTCAAATCAAGAGTTCCCTTCTCAACTATGTGTTCCCAGACTTACTTTTGATTCAGAGAAAAAGGTGTTCCAAAACACTCACACATGTATTCTTAGTATCAAGAAAATCAAGAATTCTGGATGGGTTTTGAGAATGAGAAATATTCGAATTGATGCCAAATGGGGCCGAAGTGTTCAAAGCTTGCAAGAACACTTGGGAATGAACCAGTTTAAGAAAGGAAGAAGAAACCTGCTGCCGCACTGGAGAGGAGATTAGCACTCCTCCAAAACTTGTCCAATCTCAAAGAAATTTTCTGAGTAGGTGAAACTGGTATGGGCAACATAGCCAATGAAGTTTCACTTCAAGCAGATGCCTTCCAAGAGAGTTCTAAGAAGATTTCTCTTGTTGAAATCGCAGAACAGAGTGATTTACATTTAAAAGAAACAAAAACAAAATCAAAAAAAAAAAAAAAAAAACTTTTGAATACTTGAAGCCCTAGCTGTTGGGAGTAAGATCTTAGATAGAAAAATTTCTACTAATGAAGCAACAAGAATACAACAGATATTTGGCCCTTAATCCTAAAACAAAATGAACTACCACCAAAAGCACAAAACCAACCCGCTTATATACAGGCCAAAATTTTGGGTCAGGGAAACTGCCCCCAAATCCAGCCTTCATATGGGCTTATTTGGGCTTTCCCTCAATGAGCCTTTTCTCTAGCTACAGTTCTATTGGCCCTTTGCCTCCATAAAGACCCCAATGTCCTAGGATTACAAATGCTAGAAGTCTAACATCTAGCTACTTAAGGTAATGCAACTAGGAGTCTAGGACATAGACATACATGTTGAGTTTCACATGCTTGAATTGTCGAGTGCTTAAAACACTTTGGTACAATTCATATCTGTTTATTTTCACTTCCACTTTGAATTTATTTTTATACATGTGTTTTGATTTGAGATAATAAGCTTTTTAAAACATGTAATTTCTTTTAAAATTCAGGTTTCCATATTTTTATGTACTTATTTTTTTAACCTTTTTCAAAAATTTGTGCCTTGTATTGTCAAGATGCATGCCTCACCTTGCATCTCAAGTGGTAGAAGGCCCTTGCACTTTCTTTGCACCTCTAATTTATAAATTACCAACTAGTATCAAACAAATTCTAGGATATCATTAAGAGGTTGCCATTAGGATGTTCATGAACGAATAGATCATTAACTACTTACTTATTTTGCAGATTAATAGATGATACACATGTTAGTACAATACCAAGTCTTCCACTATTTTCTGACTATTACATGCACCACTTCCCAACAAAAAAGCTCTTAGGTTTTAAGGGACCAGGCCTAACCACAACCTTTTGCAGAAAACACCGTGAAATTAGAAGCACCTGCTTTAACAACCTTAAAAACAGAAAAGAAAAAGAAGTGTTTGTTCAAATTGAGTGCCCATACCCAAGAATCAATACCATCAGGATTACAAATACATGTTTTAAGGAGTTAAATGAGAGTGGTAGAATCATGACTTCCATGGTCCCTCAAGCCTAATATGGAAAGCCAAATGCCAGAAGAAGCTCAAGAAACAACAGGGTTTAGATGGGGATATCAATAAATTGAGAGATGAGGAAAGTTTACAGAGTTTGCCACACTATGGAAATCTGTACACCACAAGTCTTCACACAACCTTACTCCCCTGGAAATCACATCAAATCATAAGGAAAGAGAGAATGCAGAAAGGACAGATATTACAGATTCCAAATGCAGGAAAGAGAATGGAGGCTTAGGTATAGGACAGGTCAGACATCCCCACCCATTTACATGATGCTGGAAGAAGATGATTGTATCATCAGAAAACAGTAAATGTGGTATAACCATATTGTCATTCCTGACTTCAAAACCCCTGAGGTTGTCAATCTACATGAATTACCAACCCACTAATATGATTTTCAATCTGTAAAAATCTCCAACAAGTTATCTATGCAAGTTCCACCAAAAGAAGACCATCTATTCAAGTTCTTAATCAATGATTAATATAAAATTTACATATTTAGACAATTTTTTGCCAGCAAAGTTAAACAATTATGAATGCAATAGGCACCAGTGACATTATACTTTGCAATTTGTACAAAGGGAGAAAAAAAAAAGTGGCATGTTAGACAATGCATGTATATACAATATACAAAGAAGAAAACCATATCATAAACTATGATATGGTTTAGTAAATAACAATACTAGAGCAGAAATATAAAGGATATTCTAACACTCCAGTAACATGTAAACCAATTCAAAACATCCCATGTCATTTCTCATTTAAATCAGAACTAAAATCTTTGGTGTCAAAAATCACTTTGCTATAGATGTAAAGAGAATTCTCTTTCTAGAACAACCCAAACCATGGATGCAACAGAAAACCTACTCAGAAAGAAACTAAAATTCACCACATTTCCATGAGAGATCAACAGAAAATGCAAAATTATGACAAACAGATTCCCAATTAAACGGGTATTTTTTCCTTTAGGGGTTGATTTTGAGTGAAAAACAATACTCTAAAAGAACATACATCAAACGACAGAGCGTCCCTGAATAAACATGTAAAGAATCCCGCTTTATAGAACACAAATTAATTGAAAGCAGTAACTTAGGTAGCATTTACCACTGTTCAGGGGAACCAAAAAATTATGTTTTTCTGTTGTTTTCTGTTCCCCAGAACAACATACATGTTCTAATAGAACCTTAGTCAGCACCTTAGATTCATCAAGTCTGTAAGAGCTTAATAAAGCATAACAAGAATTAAGAATCAGATGATAGCTAACCATTAAGCGATACAATAGAAAAACAAAATAATGACCTTAATCATTATCAATAAGAATGAACAATCTTCTTGAGCAATATAATGTAAAATTTTCAACGATAAAGTAAAAAAGACATATTGACGCGTGCTGAACAATAAGAGAAAAGATACACTTTCTGGGCATAATAGCTTGCAGAACTCCACCCGTTTAGAAGCGTATTAGCAACAACAACTCTAAGATTACGTCGAATAACCAGGAATCTCGACATGAATTCCAGAAAGGCGATTCACAGACAAGAAAGGAAGAAGGAAACCGAGAAACTATGAGGAATTCCAATTTAGTGGGAGGTATTCGAGCAAAGGAGAAATGAAAAGATGCTTTACCCGGAGAAGAAATCAACTGAGAGATCTGAAGAGAACTTTGATAGTTTTTTTCAGTTAGAAGCAATTCTGATTCTATCAGGGAACATAAACAAAAGGTTGAAGAACCTTCTGCTTCCAATATTCCATACGAAACATGAAAGACACTATAAGAGAATAAACATAAAAGACGGAATCTGGATCAAGAGTTGATGACTGTGTTGGGGACCTTTAACCAATAATAATGCCCCACTCCAATTTGGTCAGAAGCAAATCCGATATCCCCACAAGGAGTCCGCGTCACCCGTGGGTGCGAACGAGCGCGTTCTGTGTAACGGTAACGTTGTGTTTGGAAGGGTGTCAATGGACCGGTTTTGGATTGGACCCCGTTCAGTCCAAAATGAATTTGGACGGATTGAATGGACAAACAAGATATATTGGATTGGACCAATCCGATTCAAAATATTTATTAGATTGAATTGGACCTGGTCCGCCCGTAACAAATTTATATTGAATTGGATTGGATTGGATTAAGCTAATATTTGGTCCATTGATATAAGATAAGAATATATATATCAATGAACCGGGTTTGGGTTGAAACCAATCTAAATCAAAATGAATTTAAACAGATTGGATGGTCCAGACATTGAATTGGACCGGTCCAAATTGATCCAAAACACTTATTGAATTGTTTGGCCATCCAAATCCAGATTGGATGGTCTAGACATTGGACCAAATCCAATCTAGTGTTTGACCGTCAATCGACTCCATCCGATTCAACCAGATACAAAAAGTCAGAAAGACAAAATTTTTCACACGAGTTCGAACTCCCCCTCCTTATACTCATTTCATTTCGAACCCTAGTGCCTCCAACCATCGTAGCTCGATCACCGGCGCCTTCACTCCACATCAGCGCCCCCGTGAATGACAAAGCCACCGGTGTCGAGAGACAAATCGTCCGGCTAAACAGTCCGTACTTCTTCTTCTTCTATGTCTTTTTTTTTTCCTTTCCATTTTCAATAGGTCGAAGCAGATCACAATGGCAGTCAACATTCACCTAAACGAAGGTAACTCCCGGAAACCTCAATGGAGTTTCTGCCATTCTAATATTGCCCTTTTCTCTAGGTTGGCGGTTTGGGGCAATTGCAAAATGAAAATGATGTTAAGGTCAAGGGCGGAGCCAGGAAATTTTTATAAAGGGGACCAAAACCTAGATGGTGTTTTGAATTTGAAATAAGAATGTGATGTTTTGTTTTGAATTTGTATTTTAATTTTTCTCTAGATGGTGTGATGTTTTGTTTTGAATTTGTATTTCATTTTATGGTTTATGATAACTTTTCTCTTAATCGTTTATGTTTTGAATTGGTTTGTTGTATAATCTGAATAAGAACAATGTAAAGGCCCCAAACTAATCCCAGCTAAGAACAAGGAGTTGTTAATATTACCCTTGTTTCCTGAGAACTTTAGGTTTTATAAATATCCATTTAAAATAATTCTTTGATTATTGTTTCTGACAAAAAAAGTCCCATGCTTCAACATGTGTTAGGTGTTAGAATTCTAGGAGTATGGGAACATCTTTGTGGAAAATGGATCATGGTCTAAGCTCTAATCTGAAGTAAAACAAAATTAGGATCTGCTATGTTTATTACCAAAAGTATTCTTATAATGGAACATTTCAAAGAGAATTGGCAAAGCAATTTGGTTTGGCATATATTGGACTGAAAATGTTTAACCTGGATGCTAAAACGCAAGCATGTTTGATGAAGAGTTTATAGAAGCACCCTCTCAAATCTAGGGATTTGTAGAGAATCTGACCCTCTCAGAATAAGTGTGCTTTTTTGTATGTCCCACCATGTATGTACGGCAAAGTTTTCATGAGTTGCACTACTATTTAATAATATTGTTGAGGTATACCTGATTACTACTGTCATCTTATGAAGATGAAATTCTTGCAGATATCAATTGCCATGCTGCACGTAAGTTGGTGTTTGATGATGTGAATGATGAGGAGACAGAGAATAAAATAGGAAAACCAAGGTTGGGAATGATGTTTGAAAATTTGGATGATGCATATTTTTTCGGAGAATTACGAACAGGTTCATTGCAGATTTCTGAATCCCATAGCATACCTATAAACATTTAAAATGTCAAATACCCTCATTCTATGCACTAATGCCCACCCATGAATTAGCATCAATTCCGAGCTGGCACCTATCCCAACTGTACTTTGGACCTAAAAATTCTAACCTTGGGATGAACCGTCATTCTCCCTATTTTTTTTTTTTACAATGAATATGCTAGAAGAGGGGGGTTTAGCACTCGGAAGGGCAATGAACATAAAACAAAAAGTGGGGTAATAAAAGATAAGACATTTTGTTGTTATGCCTAGGGTTTTAGCAATCCTAAACCATGAGGTTGTAAAAAAGTGGTACTATCATGACAATACAATAATTGGATGCCAGGCACACATGTTTGTTGGTTGAAAAAAAGTGGTCAATATAGCATTATTCGTTTTGAAAAGCAACACAACCATGAGGTTGTAATTCCAAGCAAGTCATACATGTTAAGGTCACATAGGAGAATGACGGTAGCCCAAACTTCTCAGATTGATCTTGCAGACAAGTCAGGGATAACACCAAAAGCCACCATGGAGTATGGCCAATCAAGTTGGAGATGTTGAGAATATGGGGTTCACTCATTTTGATTATTGCAATTATCTACAGACAAAAAGACAAAAAATATATGGAAATGGGAGGTGCAGGAGCCATTTTAAAATTTTTTGAAAAATTGCATATGGAAAACTCCTCATCATTCCACTCCATACAACTTGGTTCTGAAAATCATATTACAAATATCTTTTGGGCTGATGTAAGAATAGTATCTAATTATCATTTTTTGGTGATATAATCTACTTTGATACCACCTTCAAAATTAATCGGGATTGTCGTCCAATTGCACCATTTGTTGGTATTAATAACCATAGGCAAACAATAATATTTGGAGATACATTAATATACGGTGAGACTATTGAATCATTTAAGTTGGTTTTTGAAGCATTTTTGAATGCAATGGATGGGAAAAACCAATAACAATTTTAATGAATCAATGTGCAACAATGGCAAAGGCCATTCAATATGTTTTCCTAGAGGTTAATCATCGCCTGTTAGACAGTTTTGTATGCCCTTAGCTTCAATCCGATTTGATGTACTTTGATATTTAGTGTAAATAAATAAAGTGCATGTTTGATTCATGTTGTTTGGTATAATTCTATGTAAGACTCTAAAACTGGACACTTATAGAGACTCGTGTTAGTTTTAAATGTTCACAGCCGTTGGATAAGTCTAGGGAGATTTATCCTACTAAGGCTAATATTGGTGTGCCACCAAGTATTGGGATGGCATGTCTCGGCCACCAGGGTAAGACCCAAGGCACATGCAGTATGGGATTACTCGAATCCTTGAACCGAACTAGATTTCCAGTATTGCCCTAGACCTTGGAGACAGATGGGCAAAACTGGAAAGTTACACCTAACCCCTAAACTCGATTATGATACTTCATTACGTGTTGGATCAGGCTGTCTTTGATATGCCAATCAGTGAGATCCTTAGCGGGGGTCCAAACCTAGGTATGTTGGGGCAGTCTGAGAATTCATCTGAGTGGGTGATCATAGTGACAGGATCAGCATCTTTGTTGGACAAAGGTAATGATCGGGAATGCACTCTCTCTGATGGAAACCAAACTGCCGGCAGTTGATTTCAATCGTTGGAATTTTGTTTTGCAAAATTAATATATACATATATTTATTTGTGCGGTTTCAAAAGTGTTTGCAAATTGTTTTAATTCACGGGATCCATGTGAGTAGAGAGTGCGGCACTATTCCTTGTAGCCAAGGGAGAGATCCTCTCTTGTCGGGCAGTGCTTGATCATTAAGGGCTGAGAGGTTAAGTGTAAGACCATTTAGGATAGTACCCGATGGGCTAATCTTGCACCTGCCCACGGTCCCTGGGTTTTTATAAGATGGGTTGGCCCAGGGATCACTTAATGTAAGTGTTGGCCCCATAGGGTCCATGTGATGGGCTTAGGGGTTCATTGAGCTTTTTCAGTGAATTCGGCTGGGCCTTGTAATAAAGGTTGGGCCGAACCCATGTGGCTAGTGTGTAGATTAATGCTTGGGTCCCACGCCATACAAAGAAGCCCAACTGGGCAGCAGATTGGAAACTAATTAAGCACTGAATATTTAATGGGCCAAAAGCCCATTTTGAGTTGGGTTGATATGATCACCCATCTATGGGGCGGATCTGAGATTAATGTTAACAAAAGGATTGGGCCTTTAACCTTATCCACTCCGGGAGACCAAATTCAAATCAGATTTGAATCTGGTAAACTCCTTATAAGATTAAGAGTAAGCTAACTTAATCTGCAGATATGATTAAGATCATCCCCTATCCAAATACTGATTTGGATTGGGATAACTCCTAATTAGGAGGTTTCTTAATCAAGAAGAAAAAGGAGAAGCTTTAATAGATGATAATCAGATTTCGAACCTAGGGTTTGTGCAAGAAAACATCCTGCGAATTGAGATTGGATCTCATACTCACTCTAGAAAGAAGAGAAGCAATTTCAGCCATCTTTACTTCAGGAGTTCTCCTCCAGCCGCCGCCATTCTTTCTTGCAAGATTTGATCTTTGCCGAAGAAAGAAATCAACAAAATCAATTCTTGACATCAGTCTTGCAGAAAAGACTATAAAAGATTTGGTGCTCAGAGTTTCCAGAGGGTTCTTGAGAAGGATCTAGTGTGTAGGACGCACTCTGCTGGTTCCGTTCCACCTACTGCTGTGTCATCTTCAGCAGGAGCGGATCTTGGTGTCCTCTTTGGGCGTGAACACCAACTTTGGGAGATATTGTTTCTCCGAATCAGGTATAATCCTCCCTTTTTCCTTTTGGTTCAGATATGGTTCAAGTAGGATCCTTGAATATTGTATTCTAAATTTAGGGAATACGATTCCCAGTTGAGAGAAAGTAGAAAAATTTTTGAAATTCGCCCACCCATTCTGCAATCCTTTTGGCGTCCATTAGATGGATCCTACTATCCTTTCAGCCTTTGTATTTGGAAAATTTATTATAATGGGATTAAACACTTGTCCCATCTATTTTGTGTTTCCAAGACATTTTAGAACGATTTCAACAAATTGATATATGACTATGAAGATGAGGATGAATTTCTCTAGGCGTGAGAAGAAATGCTTTGTCAGTATTGTTTAAAAGAAAATACATGATTAAAAGGGTTATTTAAAATGTAAGAGAAGTGGGCATTGGTTTATGAGAGAAACCACTTTTCCAGTAACATGAAAAGCACTCAGAAGAGTGAAAGCATGAAAAGCTTGCTAAGGGGTTACTTGAAATCATCACTAAGTATATCTCGATTCTTGGAACATTTTGAAAGGGTTGTGAGAGATAGACGCCAAAAGGAATTACAGATGAATTTCAAGATGATTCATAACAAACCCCATTTGAGCATACAATTACCAATTCTTGAACAAACTGTAATGATTTATACTTGAACGATTTTTAGAGAATTTGAAAAGAAATACCACAACTCTATGGTTTGCTTCATAGACAACAAAACTGAGGTTGAAGGGGTCAAGACCACTATAAGCATGTATGAAAAAAACAAGGTGCAGGTTGTATTATTTCACCATTAGATCCGTCAGTTTCATGTAGTTGTAGAAATTTTGAGTTCATGGAGCTGCTTTGTGGTCATGCATTGAAGGTGCTTTATGAAAATAAGGTAATGCATCTTCCATCCCGATACATTTTAAAATGACCAACAAGAGATGCAAAAGATGGGACTGCAATAGACTATCATGGTTGTGCAATTAATCTTGATCCTAACTATGGATATACTATGAGTGTGACTGAACGGGTGAGGGTTTCATGAGACATATCTAATCGGGTTGTAGAAAATGAACAAGCTTACTAATTTGCATTGAATGGGTTCCAAAAGATTTGTATTGGAGTTGAGAAAATAATAAAAGGGGATGTTTCAATTGATGCACAAACCACTCATTCTCTTAATATCGAAGATGATTTGGACTATGGAAGTCAATTAGGATCTTGTCAGCTAGGTGATTCTAATAATTTACAAAAGAAAGGGGATGCAGATGGAATCCATAATGTAGTACCATCTCATGACCTCACATACAAGGTGCCGGGATTTGTAAAGAAGCCCAAGAGTGGCAAGACTAATTGTGGTGGTGGCAAAATAAAGCAACCATTTGAAAAAAAAAAGAGTAAAACAAAAATCCCCAACTCTAGCCAAAAAATCCAGCTACTTTAATAGTTGAAACTCAACCATCAGCACATCTTGTTACAATATTATCTCAACTCAAATATGCATTATCTAGCTACTTTTACTAATATATTTTTTAGTTATAGAGTCATTTGTTTGTGTCTATGTCATTTCTTGTGTGATAGGAATCATATGGTGTTGGTCCAAGCATGACAAATATTCTTGATCTTAATCAGTTAGATACCACATGTCAACCATATGCAATGAATATGGACACCATTGAATTGGCAAATACCCTAGGTTTTACTCAATTTGCAACTCAAAACCCCATCAGCATGATAGACTTGCTACAAGCTTCAATAGTTTCAGGCACACAAGCCAAGGTATGTATGGAGTTGAATATACCAAGTTGTGAAAATAAAAGGAATTTTATTTTTTAAATTATTCAACATTGTCTTATTTGTTGTAGGGAAATGTTATAGATTCACAAAACTGGTGTTTTGGCACAAATTTGGATGGAGGATACCAACCATCATCTCAGGATAGGCAATAAGACCATATTAGTGAGTGCACTTTTTAAACAAATTGTTACTTGATTCATTTTTTTGTAGATTTTTAAACAAATTGTTTAACCCAAGCCTTAACCTAAGTATATGGGTTGGCTGCATGAATCTGTTTTGCCATTCTATTCTGTTAAATGCCATATATGGGTCGAACTCACTTACATTTTTCAGTAAGCATAAGTGAATCATTTCATTTATCGTAATAGTGAACTCATTTCATACAAGAGAAGTGCTAGTTAAAAATGCTATATGAAATTATAATGGAATTATTTTGCTTCACATGGTGTATGAGCAGGATATTGCTTATGTCTCTATATGACTGGTTTTTGTGCCGCTTGGATGAATCTTAGCCTAGTTACTGCTTCCTATAACTAAATTGGGATGTATGTAACTGGAAAAGGACATTTTGAGAAAATATGAACAATGGCAGGATCCTGTTTAGATTAAGATTAAGCTTTACCTGTAATTTGATCAAACTTAGAAAATATGAACAATGGCAAGATCAGTATTCGTAGAAAAAGCTCAGTAAGTAGAAGATATGTGAGCTTTTTGTGTCAAGGGTTTTGGTAGTGCTGCATGCCCTTGTAAATTAAAGGCAGAAATTAATCTGGTAGTGGTGCATGCCCTTCTAAATTTAATTTCCTTCTTGCTATGCATAGAATTGATTTCTTTTTGGCTCTCTAAGGGCTATGGTAGGGCTGGGCCTTGGTCAATTAAGGCTAGCTTAAGCTCACATTAACCTTGGTGATAAATCTTTGAGCACTTAAACTCAGTAAATGTTTAAAACCAAGCATGGACCAGATTTGAGTTCGGTCCAATATGACTTGTGTTTGCTATTCAGTACAGGCCTAATGTACCAGGTACATGGGTTAATAGAATCTAGGCATTGGTCTGATTGTGAACGCTGTTAAATCCTGCTAACAGTAGACCTATCCTAATGATAATCCTAATCCTTTTTCCCGTTCCAATTGGAAATAATGTTGTCTAAATGAGAAGAGACAATGCATTCCATTTTGATGTTGCAGGATTCAGTCTTTTGCTTCTTATGAAAATGCATTGATGAGGCCAATGTTCTCTCATCTTTCGGTGGACATGGGTGAGGAATTGTCTAGGATGTTTTGGCATTGGATCCTCCTGAAGTATCCTCCGATTCAGACTAAGATTCTGGCAAGTGCACTCATTTTGCATCGATATCTGTTTATGAAATGTAACTTGAATTTTTATAGTTGTATCTTGTTTCTGTGTAATTGGAGTTTCATCAACAATGCAAAAATAGGTGTTTTTGTAACTTTTCCGAAGAGGGCATTTTTACTTTGTTCGCTACTTCGCTATGTATTTTAATATAGATTGGTTCCAACCCAACCCTAGTCCATTGACACATGTGTTCTGATCTTCTATCAATGGATCAAAATCATCAGATATTGGTTCAATTCAACCCAACCCTGCGACGGTTGGAGGCACTAGGGTTCAAAATGAAATGAGTATAGGGAGGGGGAGTTTGAACTCGCGTGAAAGGCAAAATGAAAAATTGTCTTTTTGTGTCCGGTTGAACCGGATGGAGTCGGTTGACGGCCAAGCACAACGTTACCGTTACACAGAACGTGCTCATTTGATGTGGTCGAATGTGATTGGTCCACGGGTGCACAGAACATGGACTCCCTCACAAATGCTATTAGCAGGGAAAAGTTTTCTGTCCAAACCTTCCCAAAAAACTTTGGAACAAAGGTTAAAGTTTGGAAGGACCCATGGATCGAGAAGCTGTTGGGTTTCAAGATAATGGGGCCAAGACCAAATACTCCTAATTTGGCTTGGGTTAAGGATCTCTTGATTCAGGGAGAAAGGAAATGGAATAAAAGGCTCATAAGAGAAAACTTTGATGAAGGTACAACAAAAAGCATCCTAAGTATTAATTTGGTTGAAGGCCTGCGGGAGGATAAAAATCAAATGGACCCTAACAGCTAATGGGTGTTTCTTGGTCAGGTCAGCTTATTTTGTGGCAAAAAATCTTTAGATAGAACACTCGCATCAATTCGAAAACGTCAATCCTAAAAACGATTTAAACAATATTTGGAAAGCAAAAATTGATCCCAAAATAAAATCATTTGTTTGGAAATGTAGTTGATGTAAAGAAAACCTATTTAAAAGGAACATAGCTAATGATGATTTGTGCCAGATATCTAGAATCAGCCATGCACCCAATGTTTTCAATCCCGCTGTTGACCCGGTTAGACGAACAGTTCGAACCATCACCCGGGTAGGATTCTGAGTCCAGTTCAATCAAGGCCCATCAGACGGTCAAAAACCGTTGACTTGAATAAGAATAGTTTGACTTGGCCGGTTTGACCATTGACCTATTCGACCTAGTCACCGGGTCGTGGGTTGCACACTCAATGCATGCAAAATTTTGGGAGGCCATAACTTTGCAATTCGGTATCCAATTGGGGTGATTTTTTTTTATTTTTTGTAACCTTTCGAGATCTATGCGTCCCAAGGCGCCATCCTGCTATTTTTATGAAAAAAAAACCCTGTTTTTGGCCTCAAGTTGCAATTTTTAATATTTTTTATAAATACAAAAATTAAAAACTGAACTAAAAAACATAAATTAAATATAAAATAATACATATAACATATTTATACATTATTTATTGCTAAAATATATATATATATATATGTATAAATATATATTTTAGCAATAAATATATATATATATGTACATACACACACACGTGGCACAGTCTGAACTGTTTAACCCGACTGGTCGAATTAGTGACTCGCGACCTGGAGGCAAAAACGGTTCAGCTTCTAGGTTGGTTTTTAAAAACATTGCGTGCACCACCTTCTTTTTTGTGGCTTTGCTAAAGCAATTTGGTTTAGCAGTTCTATTAGCAGGCTATGGAACCAATGATAACACTCTACACTAGTCATAAAATATATAGACCCCCGCAAACCATTCAATCTCTCATTATGGCTCCCATGTATTTTATCATTGGCATGGAGCATTATCATTTTGTTTCACACCCTGCTACACAACTAAAGCGCTCAGCTAATCCAAATTCTTTTGATGAACGGTAGCTGCTTGGCTGGATAGATGTAATAGAGAAGGACAAAAAAGATTTTATGATTGTGTTATCTCTCCATATTCTATGGATTATATTGAAAATTAAAAATCAAAAAGTTTTTTGAGAACTCTAATATTGATCCTAGCTCTACTCTGATTTCTTTAAACAAAATGTGGAAGGAGAAGATGAGGATTTCCACAAGCCGTTCATAGTCTAGCTAAAAGAGGTCTAATAGTGTCTGGTTTTTTGGAGAGGAGTCCTCCCTGGCTCCAATCACTTGTGGATCAAGACTCACATAAACCTCAAAGTGGTTGACTCAAATCACTTGTGTGATCTTCCTCTATTTTGTTTGAATATTTTATTCTTTTTATCAAAAAATAAAAAATAAAACAACTGCACTTGATGACCATGTTGGGGACCTTTAACTAATAATAATTCTACATTTATCAAGTCAAGATCAGATGGGCTCCCTACGGAGCACGCCCCAAAGGTGCCCCACAGCCCATCCCCCTCTTGGGAATTCACATCCTATGAACCTCTGGGTTCATGGGAAGCGCGAACCTGCCAAATAGAAATGCCCACATCGGTGCATTCAAAATTCATTAACACTAATGGCGCTTGACCCATTAGCCGAAAGAGAGAGAGAACCGCCATTGCAACTTGCAGTAGCGATGGCGGGAAGACAGGGCGGAGAGAGAGTTGTATGAAGACGAGAGAGAGAGAGAATGGGGAGGGGTATTTTTTGACTTTAGGCTACGTCTGAAACACGTTTGAGCGTGTTGAGTGACAGGTCTGAGTCTTAAATTTTAGATCTGAAAAAACTTTTCAAATCGTATTTTAGATGCAACACCAAACAAAGGTAGCATTTGAAAAGTAACATCTGAAGTGCAACCAAACACCACCTTAGGCTCTATTTCTTTTTCTTTTTTCTGATATCTCTTGAAGGGCTATACAATGGGGGTAGCCCATCCCCCAACCCAGGTGTAGGCGGGATTTGATCTCAAGTCTTCGCTACGACTTGGAGACCTTACCAACCAGCTAGTAGACACCTTGCAAAAAGGACACATACCCATCGGGACTCGAACCCACATCTAGGCTCTATTTTGGACATGGTTTTAAAAAACAACCCGTAAACGGAACCATTACAGCCACTAGTTTCCAAGTCGATGGTCCAACCGTCCGGTTCGAATGGACGACCTGTTTTGATGAAAAATTTAAAAATAAAAAAACATCCAAAAACCATTGAACGAGTCAACGGGTCAACAGTTCGACCGCCTGAGTCAATGGGTCGTTGACTTTTTCAACAGTTTTTGCCAAGGGACTGGGTTTGGTGTAAAACAAAACCGATTGCTTGGACGGTTCCCAGGCCGAACAGTCCGACCATCCGGATCAACAGCGGTTTAAATTTTGGAAGCAATGAAAACATATTTGTATTTGCACTCTTCCCCAAAAAAAGACTTCTCCTTTTTTCTCCCTCACTCAAACCCTCTCAAGCTCTATTCCTCTTTTCCCTGCCTCCCTGCCTTTCCTCTCTTTATAACCTGGATGGTCGGACTGTTTGACCTGTAAATTGTTCAAGAAATTAATTCCTTTTCACCCATGAACTGTTTTCTTTTGCCAAAAACTGTTGGTTTGGTCAATAACCCACTGACCTAGGCGAAAAATCATCAACCTATTTGGCCAAGACAATAATTTTTTGCCTTTTTATTTTTTAATTTGCAACAAACAATCTATTTGAATTGGACGATTGAACTGCTGACTAAAAACCAGTAGTCAAAGCGATTTAGATTTTGAGTCAGTTTCTAAAACATAACACAAGTGATAACAAAACCACCAGCAATAAGTAAACCTCCCCTTCCCCTTTTTTCTTGCAATGGCAACAACATATAGAAGCAAATGATACAACAATATTATCACATTAGCTAGAGATAAATGCAAATGGCGATAAACAAAGGAGAGTAGTCTGAAAGGCTTGAAACAAATAATTAATTAACCTCTTTGCCCTTTTGCACTTGTGCACTTGTGCAAATGAAAACAAACAAACAAACATATTAGACTGATAAACGAAGTACACATCTAATCAAACTCACAAGAATATGTAATGCACAAACAAGACCCACATGGTTCTTCCTACACCAACCTTTCCTTGGAGGAAAACTATGCTACTACCAAAAAATCCATATCATCAATGAAATTTGTTTTTAAGGAAGAAAATATGTATTGTCTTACAGATGCTAAAGTTTCCCTTTTTTTTTTTACTTCGGTAAATATTTCACTACTAGTGAATTCATGCAATGAATGAGATTGAATAGAAAGTTGGTAAGAAACTCTAGGAAAAGATATTATGTGCATACCAATTAATAAAAAAGGTATTTAAAGACTATGAAAAAATTTAAGAAAAAATTAGGAAATATAAATACCATTTAATAGTTGTTTTAGTATTTAAATAATTTTAAGAAAATGAGAAGTGAAATAAATGACAATATAACTAATATTCATATTAAAATAAGCAAAATCCAAAAAAAAAATCCTTCTTTATAGTTAGTTTTATTTTAGGTGTAAAATTGAGGTGGTATCCATTTTTAATATAAACACCAAAACAAAAACAAAAAGGCACGAAACATGAGTGAGAAGACTTAACCTAAACATCCAAGGTTTTTAAAAGTTTAAAGGCGTAATGACTCAAAAATGTAAAGTATAAGCCCCAAAGCTTAAAATATTATAAGGGAGGTTTTTGTGAAGACGAAACTTTAGGGATGTTTTGATGATTGTCAAAAACCTTAAGGGAGGTTTTTATATTTTTCTCTTCACTAAAAGGTATTATTAATAATTATCAAAGGTTATGAAAGAAAGGCGAACGTTGGGAAAAGTGTTCATTTGCACATAACCCAACAACGACATACATGTAGGGAGTCTAGATTAAAGGCTAAGAGGGTGTCTTTTTCTCGTGCTTTAGTATTAAGTCTATCTGGTCCAGTGTAGACCTGGGTTTTAGGTGTGCTAATGATTCTTGGAGTTTTGAATATTGGCTGAGCGGTGGCAGTTTAACGGTGAGGAAAGTGAGCATGAATAATTTATCTTTTACAAATGTACCATTATCTTCTGGCACAATTGGAAGCATATAATTAAATTTATTTTTCGGAAAAGTACAGATATGCCCAATGCAGATTTCTGAATTTCACTGCAGATCTATAAATATTCAAAA